AATGTGATCAATATTAAAACACAGAGATGACAATTTATATAAAAATTTACATTTCCGTTATGCAAAAGTAATAATGTGAGACTTAATTCATTTATAATATTTTTATTGCCTTTACAAGTTTCCTAGGGCAAATGAGTAATAACAGTAAAGGATACGTTTGTTTTGCAACCATATAGTAATTCAATTTTAGCAATGGTCTCTTTTAAAATCTGACCTTTTTGTAGTATATTAATTTCAAAATTTCTTACACTTAATTAAAATTATTCCAAATTAAATTCACATGTGTTTTTATTTGGTGATGAAAATTTAGTTCAAAAGGGCATTGCCAAATGTTTATAATGTGTATGTCTTTCCTCCAAATGTTGAATAATATATAACCATGCAAAAGTCTTTCAAAGTGCTTCTTTTTGGAACTTCCATAAGAAATAATAACTATGTTTTTCACACTAAAATTCAGTTTTCAAGGCATAAATAGAGTAACTAAACATTAAGCAAATATTTCATTATTGAGACATATTAATACACTCATATATTTATTAGCACTGTACGTTATAGAATTGAATTTCACTGAATCTCAATTTATAATATTTATTTGTTTTCTTTTTAATGATTATTGAGGAAATGTGAATTAATTTGTGATGTTTAACTTAATGAGAAAATTTTAATGTTCCATAATAAATATTTCACCATAATAAATAGTTCACCTATAATTTTATTTTTTAAATGTCAGCATGTGAAAATAGCAATTAAGCCTAAATTAAAAGTAAACAGTATTGCCTTGAACCTTTGTACTGAAACTTTTCATAAATTACTAACAGATGAATTCATTCTTCTAAGATGTCTATTTACATATTTTCATTAATTCTTTGAGAACTTCATGTAATGTATTTTGATCATACACATCTGTCTCACTACTCTTCCTAGACCCACACCCACCTCTCTACCCACCCATCTTTGTGTAATTATTTCCCTATCATATCCAATTTCTGGTGCTCAGATAAAGATGGATTCTTCTTTCCACCAGCTCTTAGCTGCAGAGGGCTTCTTAGCTAGGACGGGAACTTCATGTCCACCTTCCCCTACCTGTGCTGCTATTTCCTGTGGCTTGAGCTGGAGCAGGTATTGGGGATGGTGACATAATGGCTGTGACTGCATATATATAGCTCCCCTGCTGTCTGGAATGCACTCCTCCCTTGGAGCCACCAGCACATCTGCCTCTTATTCTTTCTGCCTCCTCTTCCTCAAAGATACATGGAGGGAAAAGTGTGCTGTAGACATCCATTTAGGGCTGGGAATTCCTCCCCTTTTTAGTCTCTGCTTGTTGACAATTTCTTAATCTCTAAATACTGCTCATGTGTAAATGTACCACAGGGTCCTCAAAAAGCTAGAAAATATATGGACCATAGTATGTAGCTATTCCACTCTTGGACATGTACCCAGAGGACTCTGCCTCCTACTACAGAGACAGATGCTCTTCCAAGCTCATTGCTGTGCTAATAACAACAGCCAGTAAGAGGGTACAGTCTAGATGTCTATCAACTAATGAATAAATAAGATGCACCCATTTTAAGCAAAACAACCAAGTAAGGATTTTAAAGCCCATTAAATATGTCTTCTACTTTTTTCTGATTTTAACATGAAATGAACATTAATGGCATGGTCATAATTTTTCTATGAAAATTATGCTTCAAACGCATGAATATAATGCTCAGATAAAAGCAATTTGATATATATTTTTAAAAAAATTTTTTTATTTTTACTTTATATGTGTGCATGTATTGCCTGCATGTAGGTAAGTGCACCTGTGTCATGCAGTGCTCGTGGAGAACTGAAGAGGCTGTTAGATCCCTGGAACTGGATTTACTGACAGTTGTTAGCTGCAAGGTAGGTGCTGGGATTCGAAGCTGGGTCTTCTGCAAGAAGAGTCAGTATTCTTAAACACTGAGCCATCTCTCCAGCCACACAATCTGATATATTTAACCAGGATTACAGTTATTTGTGACTGAGTTAATATATTGGTATTGAAAAACTGTGTAGGCAAACAGCTTTGTCATATATGAATTATAATAACAATTCATTTAATTTACCATTATACTCTTAAACTAAATGAAAATAAAACCAGCCAAACAACTAAATAATGCATCTTGTTGTATGTGGATGTTTATGCATCCAGGCCAATTGAGATGAACCTGGGCTACATAGAGAGATGTTGTCTCAAAAAAATGTCCATCTAGGCACTGGAGAGATGGCTCAGTGGTTAAGAACACTGGTTGTTCTTGCAGAAGACCAAGTTTGAATCCCAGCACCTATATGGCAATTAACAACTGTCCGTAACTCCAGTACCAGGGGATCCGACAGCCTCTTCTGTCCTCCGCAGGCATTGCATGACATGGGTGTACTTACTTACATGCAGGCAATACATTCATACACATAAAATAAAAATAATAAATAAATTTTTTTAAAAAGTTAAAAAACAGTTCATCTATATATATGTTAATTCATATATGATTCGTATCCTTTTTATATTTACTACCTATATTTATTATCTTCCCAAAATATTTATATTTATGAAATCACAATCTGGTTTCAAGGTGAAAATTTACTACTTCTTTGTTTATATTGTGAATCTGAGGAGCAGAACAAGAGCCTTACTCATGCTAGGAAACTTCTCTCTGCTACAAGATACACTAGTTGGTTGTGAAAAAACTGCAGTATAAACAAACATAGGCAAAAGGTAAATGTCTTTGTGTAATATTGTGTGCCATATGGAAGAACACAGAAACTTGCAATTCAAGACATATTATTTTTATCTTGAATACTGTATCTGTGATTTGTGCCTAGAATACTCTTTAATTAATATCCATTAATTTAAGTTGTATCTTATTTTTAATAATAATTATCTTGTTATAATGAAAGTTCAATATTATTAACTTTCATAATATAATAGCATAGTGTAATTTGGCTTATGTATAAATATTATGTACAAGAATTATTCCAAATATAGCAAAGGGAGCTGAGCACAGTTAAGCACACATCTAATCCTAAAACTCAGAAACAGAGCCAGAAAGATTTTAAGTCTGACGTGAACCTGGGGTACATAGAGAGATGTTATCTCAAAAAATGTTTATCTATACATAAGTACATATGACATGTGGGTATATAAATATGAGATTGTTCTGCATCATATAAAAACCATATAAAGCTGTATCTGGAACTTGACCCTTTGTAACCACAAATAAGTGAAAAAATACCAACTTTTGTTTTTGTTGAAGTAGAAATATCACTAAACATGCAGTTGTTGCTCATAATAAATATTGCATGTTTGCAGAGGAGCAGTTATATAATCCCTGGCGCTGATTACATCAATCCCTGGAAACTAACAGTGTTCTCTACTCTCTCTAGTGCAAGACATATGCATGCGTGCTGGAGAGTCACCTAATGGGCCTCACTATTGACTTCAGCACAGGCTTCATCTGCTTTGATGCAGCAACCAAGGTAATAAGTTCGCTTTAGCATAAAAAAAAAACAAAACATGCCAGAGATGTCCTTCAAGAGGAAGTGAAGGGATTTCTTATGCTATGTGGCATTCTAAATAATCATGTGTCAGATTTAAGATATTTCTTTTAATACACAGAAAATTAGTCATATTTTAATCTGTTTTAACAATAAAAGCTTTACATTTTAATAAAACATATTTGGTACAAACATACAGCATACCAAAATAAATAATGTCAGTTTATCCCTATATAAATATAAAAATAAAGTCTAAATATGTAGGTAGTAGATAACAGATTATTGATACATATTATAGAGAGATTGATGATTGATAGACGGCAGGGAGAGAGGATTGATAAAAATATGTGTGGGTTGTTATCCTTTTCAAAAGAAAAGAAAGAAAGCTTCATGATTGTGTTTTCTTCTACCACAAATGACTTTTTAAAAAAAAGCATTTCCTAATTATTTTTCTGAACCATGTTTTTCATTTTATAATTGCTATCTTAGAATTATAACCAAAATTTGAGTTTTCTAAGGAAAGAATTTAATCTATTATAAAGACTTCCCTTAATGTGGGTTCTGTGTGATTTGGTCGTTTTCCCCTTTTACAAAGTACACACACTAAAAAAAAATCAAACAAAAAAACTGCACATGCTGATTGAATGAGGAGTTGCTTTCCTGTGTCAAAACAACTATAAAAATAAACTAGTCTACCTTGGTGATTATAGACTAATGCATGACATAGCCAGAATGCTACACAGCATCATTATTTGGTTGGAAGTGTTCTTATAGGTGACCTGATCCCAGTTCAATCTCCTTCTAGTCACTTCTACAGTATCTGTGTGGGGCTCTGGTTTACAGGGAAGATATCTTCCTACTGTGTCCTCTCTCAAAGTACAGTTTAGTTAATATAAATGGACTAAGAATTACCACATTAACTCCATTATAAAAGTTCTCTCAAAATTAAGGCATACACAGGGTTTTCAAATGAAAGCGTCGGAAAGACACACGGGTGAGGAAAGAGGACTGTGGACGTTGGAGACTGTTCCAGGAATGACAGCAGTCCATTGCTGGTCCTAACTGGTCAGATGTTGTTGCATCATCTGGTCTACATAGAACTTATGATGATTCAAGATTCAGCACCTATAATTTTTATGCAAAAGTCCCCATTGTCTAAGGACAGCTAGTGCTGCTTTTAATGATGGTGAAACTCAATATTCTACTTATGAAGGTCAGATCAGGCTGCACAGTCTGCAGACATTGCAGGAAACAAAGTAGTATTCAGTAAATGAAGATTCCAGATGCAGTAACTCTTATGATGGTTCTTAGTGAGACATCCAAATTAGAACACACCCATGAATGTTAGTACAATAAATTAATTAATGTACTGAGTAATCAACGAAGTGTTCAAATAATTTGCTTAATAGTTTTAGCGATAAACTCATTTGAAAAAACATAAGTTCTGATATTAAACCAAGAAATATTATTTTCACAATTGTCATCAAATCACATGAACATAAAAATGAGTCAGAAACAAGTGAATATTATCTGAACACATTCCTGAGTATCTGAATTCCTGGAATTTATTTTTAAGGCTATAGTAGTTCAGTCCACTTCGATGTCCAGGTGGCTCTGTATTTAATGAGAGAAAAGCCATGCTAGCCATGCTCTTCCAGCATCCTTGTATGTGCCTGACTGTACTGAGAATGAGCAGTGAGAAGAATCAAAGCAAACTGTTATGATGCATCAAGGAAAACTGTCCAGGAGGAAATTAAAATGTGATCGGAATAGGCATGGTGTGCGTGGCATGTCCAAGCCTTCAGGAGTGGCGAACACTGCCCTTCCATTTTCGATCCTATCATCTGAAGTACTGACTGTCAAGGCAGTCTGAGAATTGAAAGAGGGAAAATAATCCATGAACATTCCAGTGACATACTCCAAGGCTGACATGTGCAGTAGGAAAGTGGGCTCTACTGACAGTTATGTCTGGACAGCAGGCATAACAGAGTGCTCAGACTATGGACTATGAGCAAAGCTTACTGTATGAGGCATTTATCCTACTGCATAAACATAAAATTTAAGAAACTTGCTTTAATATTTTATTATAATAATTAATATTCATGTGTTTTCTGCAGTTGATATTCATGTGGAAAAGCTTCTTAGCAACATATACCCAGCAGAGTGTTTAAATGTAGGGATGCAAGAAAGTCAACACAGCAGACCAATTCCTCTCCTTTAGGTGGCCTTTTTCTTCTGCTTCCTGTTTCGAATGTTCATTAGAGTATGACCATTGTATAAAATGGGAACCATTTCCATGCATTTATGTTTACATGCTGGTCTTATTGCCCCCATTGCCCTCTCTCGACCCTATCCCTCACATTCATCTACATCTGCTTCTCAAATAGTGCCCCTTCTTTACCTTGTTTTAGTAATTTTTTAAATCTGTACTCTTGATATGAGCAAAATGTGATTACTTGTCCATCTGAATTTGACTTATATAATCTCCAGGTCCATCCGTTTTCCTGACATAATTTTATTATTCAAGACTGGCTTCAGTCACGTTTTCCATTCCATTCATCTGTTGCTGTGCTCCTATACTGACCCCATAACATGACTACTGTAAGAGTACTGCAATAAACATGGATGCCCATACTTCACCTTGTCTAGGTCTTCCAACATTGCAGTTGCTGGAGAAGCAAGCAAGGTAGCAGTCTTATTAATCAAGTACAGTCCCAGGTGAAGGGTGACTGACTGTGTGCTCTTATGGACTGAGCTCCATATAGAGTAGGTTCAGTGAGGGAAGACTCTTATTACTACTTTTTCAGTATTTTTTATTTCTACTATGAATTCTTAAAAAGAAATAATAAGGGCTGGGGAAATGGCTCAGCAGTTAAGATCATTCACTGCTCTTGCAGAGGTTCAATTCCCAGCACTCACATGGCACTAACAACCATCTATAACTAGTTCCAGGGACTCCAACACCCTCTTCTAACCTCCGTGGCACTGCGCAACATGAGTGCATCAGCCTACATGTGGGCAATTCACTCATACACATACAAAAATAAAAATAATAATGACAAAAAAATAGTAAGCATAACCAACAATGAGAAAGCAACCACAGGATAAGATTGTGGACTTTTATGCTAGGAAGTGAAAGTCAGCTGATCTCAGTGTTCACAAGACTATTAAAGGTTTGGAGGAGTCTTAGCTGCTGTTGCCAGGCCATTTCCTGTACTTAACCATGCCTAAAAGTTCCCAGAGAAAATGACTTCTGATTTTCTGGAGTACCAGCATAGATAAATGAACTATTTTCTGTATAGAGGAATTTCTTCCTGTTGTAGGAACCAATGTATTACAAATTCTGTGTAAAAGTAGCTGTTATAATGTGCAGTTTACTGAACAATGAAAAAAAAAAAAAGAACAGTGTGTACTCAGTGGAGAAGTACTGAGTGTTTTCCATGCATAGTAGTTTGAGTCCACACAGAGCCCTCATACATGGATGGCCAGCCTGCTTCAGTTTATAAGTGGGAGCTGTGCATGTTTCTGTCTCCTGTAGTGTCTGAGATGATTGCCCCACAAAAGCACATAGCCATAATTCAGCTAGATCTTTGTAGTCCTCCTTCTTCTCAAAACAGGTTTTGCTGCATTGAAGAGAGATACTGCCATAGCAAAGTGTAGTGTTGTGGTACTTAAATGGCTGACATACCTGAAAGCAGGTATTGTCACTATGCATTCGTTTTAGAACAATTTTATTGATCTGAGTTTCATAAGATGTAGTTTGATCATACTAAAATCCCCTTCTTCCCCATCTGATCCCTCCACTGTACTACAGTCCTTTACTTCATGTCTCCTATAATTATTTATAGTTTTATTGAGTCTAATCTGTGTTTCTAAAATGCTCCTGGGTCTGGGTCCCTCTCTTGGAGTCTGATCAGCCTCCCAGGTATCACACCAGTAACAAAAGCTGACTGGCTCTCCTCAGCAGCTGTCTATTGCCAATAGATCCTCAGCTGTACAGCATGTGTTCTTTTAAACATGTATGGGAATGTACATTATTTGTGCCTAGAAACTGATCCATTGCGTGACTGTAGACCCAATCTGTAACATCTATAAAACACTCTAGATATAAATTAATCTCCTGAATACCTGATGTGTATAGAGACATATAGGTATACAGTTTAACCAATGGGCTCTCTAGCAAGGCTTTAGAGAAGATGTTTTTAATCTGACAGAGACAATATAAAATTATTCAGATAAACACCTCTAATGACAAAAGGACAGAGCTAAGGGCTCGAAGATGAGAGGCCTTGTTTTTCAGATATTAAGCCACAGATTATGGAAGAAGCCTTATTAAGGGATGTAGACTTGACCCTAAGAATAGAGGAATACATAGAAGGCTTTGAGGCATAAAAAAGAAATGGCCACACATGTTTGAGAGCTAAAAATGAACCCAATTATACATGATATGGATTGAGGAAATTGGGGGTTTCCAAGATTCTCAATTCTCAGAATTCTTCCCCCAGAGGACACTCCACCATGTGGTTCCTAAGAACACTCTGTGGTTAGAGGACAACATCAGAGGAAAACACTGCTGCACTGTGAGGGTGAAAACTCAGCACAGTGAAGCCACAGACTTGCACAATAATAGATGGAAGGGAGGGTCCGTGCAGGACAAAGCTGGAGAACTGAAGCAGGCTTCATGGGCAGTGAGAATCTACTGCATGATTGACCAAGTCTCACTCCTACTAGAAAGGCCAATCTAACTGATTGCTGCTAGATGAGGAAGAGCTGATCTTTCTAAAACAAGGGACTCTAAATAGGCTGACTAGACTCAGCGAATGGACTTGCACTTGGGAACAGCTTGGGACACTGACAACACAGTGGACAGTAACAGGGATGACAGTATATGGGCTCCAGTGTGTGTGGGGGGCTATGGGAGGGGGCCATTTGGGATGCGGGTATAAAGATGAGTAAGATTGTTTGGGACGTTCTGTATGAAA